GAGAGACTCAAACTGCATAATCAACCATGTGGGAGTCTAGCTGCCTTAACCTCCATGCCACCTGTTAGACCCCTTTTTCCCTTTTTTTCATAAAAAAATTTTCATTTATTATTTATTCCCATGAGTGAACCAGCAAGAGAGAGACAGTACCCTATCAGTGTCTCAGTACATGCTCCACCCCCAGCTGTAACCAGTCCCAGATCATGTGCACACATGTGACCAGTGTACTCAGGGAGGTCTCCTGATATGAACCTGGAGCCTTCCCATGTTGAGTCAGGCTTGCTGAAGATCTATTCATAGTAGGAAAAACAAAAACAAAAACAGGAAGCAAGCAAAAGTGCATCAGTGGGATTAAGGATAAGTACACAATGGCATATTCTTTTTTAATTGTCTTAAACTACTTTTTTGGACAGACTGAACGTGCATGCATGAGAGGAGGAGAGAGAAAAGGAATCCTTTCCCCCTGAACAGGGCCTGGTCACACAGCCGTCCTTTTCCCCTGCACTTATCCATTCCATAAGGATCCTGGGCCCCTTGCTAGGGCAGGGATTGGAGTTGTGGTCAGCCATGTGGGATCTGGCTCCCTCTGCACAGTGCTTAACTACTGTGCTTTGGGGCTAGCCCATTGCCTTAAACTTTTTAAGAATAATGATACTTGAAAATATAGGCATTTAACTAGATCTACACTACTTAGGTTTTTTGCTCATTTACAAATATAAACCTGAAATGCATTCACCAATTAAGTATGAATGAACCCGCTAAAGTTTAGTAAAGGACACTTAGTGGTGCACTTTGGCAGTGAAGTTGTTGCTTGGCAGTGTGACAGGGCACACACAGCTTGCTGTGGTGTGGCCATTTGTGTTGACTTGATTTGCCCATCGTTTTCCTCTCTTGAAGCCACTGTGAGACTCTTCCCTTTGTACAGTTTTCTCTGAGGCCTTTCCATGTGGTGCTCGGCATTGAAGGCTACTGTGAGATATTTGATGTCATGTATATGGCATCAGGTAGTGTTATAAGTGTACAGTGGTGAGCCCATCCCTTGCTGTCAGAACTAAAATGCTGCATCCCAGCTTCGTCCCTACCCTCTCTCTTCCCCAGGGAGGATGATCAGTGTAAGTCTCTTCAAAAATCATCTTTCTTTTATCTTAAAAAAAGAAATAGTTTTATCATCTCCATATTATCTCTTCAAAATGCATCATCGGGTTTTGCTTGTTTTTAGTTGTCTAAAACTGGGATCCAAACTGCACAGAAACTTATGACTTGCTTGTTGTCTCTCACTTTGTGGTTCGTCTGTTTTCCTGTCTGGTGTTCCATTGTTTGAATATGCCACTGTGTATTTATTCTTTGTCCCGAGGATGGACTTTTGCATTGCTTGCAGTGTTTTCCTACTGTTAACAGTCTTCCTGTCACCATTCTAACAAACATCTCTGGTGCATGTATGAAATATGGTTTTTTTTTTTTTTTTTTTTTGAGAGGTTTTCGCTATAGGGCGCGTGCGCTCGCCAGACAGACAGAGAGAGACATAGAGACAGAAAGCGAGAAATCACCCCCCAGGGGGGATGGTCACGCCGCAATCCCTTCTCCTCCATTCTCCTCTCGGGATCTTGGGCACGCACGCACACGCGCCCGGCGTGAGATTTAAGCCACCGGGTCCGAGACGCAAACCGCGGTCGACTACGTGGGAGTCCAGCGACATAGCCATTACGCTAACTGCTGGTTCCCTGAAATATGTTTTTAAAGGTGTATAGTAAGGAACAGTTTTGCTGAGTTTTAAGTTGCTGGATTTCCAAAGTGGTTGTCCCAGTGTGTGTTTCCAACATACGAATGAATGAACAAACAAATGAATGAAGAAGATAACCTTCATGAAAAAGAGAGAGTACTGAATATTCAGCCATAGAAGACAATGTCTAACTGATTTTCAAAATGTGTGTTCCCAGAGTGTAAACATTTCTGCTGCTCACTGATATTTGGTATCTCAGATGTATTGGGGGGTAAGCTAAACTGCTGTCCCAGAGACCCCAAGATAGCATAGCTGCTTATTTTTCTCCCAGCCTACTGCCTGCAGACCACTGGACTCTTCAGGGTGGGCAAATGGCTTTGCTCTGGAAGGTTATCTGGGACCAGCTTTTCTTTCTTAGTGTGGGTAGATCTGGCTTGCCAACACCATACCCACCTTCTAGCCCACAGCAGAGAGAAGTACTGGGGAAGCAGCTTCCCTTGGTTAGCAATGTGACCTGAAAACTGTTCACATCACTTCCACCACACCCACTTGGCAATAACTTAGCGACGGCTCACACCAAACTGCGGCTGAATTTGCGGGAACAATCTCCAGCTGGGCAGCCTAGTGCCTAACACAAACTGGGGGTGGAGGAGTATCAGTTTCTGATTCCAGCCATAACAGATCACCACAAACAATGCCTTAAAACCACACAAATTTATTATCTTCCAATTTCAGAGATTGGAAGTCTGAAATTGGTTGGCAGGCCGAGTACCTTCTGGAGGCTTCAGGGGAGGAGCTATTTCCTGCCCTTTTCCAGTTTCTAGAGGCCGCCTGCATTCCTTGGTGCATGACCTCTTCCTTATATTGCTGCAACCCCTGGCTCCATCACATTTCTTCTGTTGGCTCTTTTGCCTCCCTCTTCCATCATTTACAGACCACTGCGTTAACCCTGGGCCCACCTGGGTAGTCCAGGATAGTCTCCCTATTACAGGATCCTTAATCAAATATGCAAATTCCCTTTGCCACACTAAGTAATAACATATTTGCAGGGTGTGGGAATTAGGATGTGGATAAATTTGGCGGGGGCATTATTCTGTCTACCATGGGGGGAGGGAAGGGCTCCATTTGTAAAAAGAGGAAGATACTAGAGATAATTATCAGTTTCTGCTGTATCATACAATTGTATTTCTGCCAGTCTTCTGGGTGTGGATATATTTTAAAAGTACTAAATTGTGAAAGTTGGCAAACTTGCAGAAGATACAATTTTGCTTTGCAATTCTCAGGGTTCAGATGTCTAAATAATCACAAAAGGAAGCCGTAGTTTTTGAGATCTACATCCTTTCTCATGAATGACAGTTTCATCTATCAGTCAGTTTTCTGTTGACTGCATTCTTTTTGTGAAGGGTATTTCTTTTCTTTTTTTTTTTTTCCAAAGATTTATTTATTTAATTCCACTTGTTATTATTACTTTTTATTTTGGCCAGACAGAGAGAGAGAGAGAAAGCGAGAAAGCAAGCCAGCAGGTCCAGGACTCAAACTGCAGTTGGCCATGTGGGAATCCAGTGCTTTTAACCACCATGCCACCTGCCAACCCCAGTGAAGGGCATTTGCAACTACTGTTCTATGTTTGGGTTCGTCAGGGTTGCTGATGGAGCAGCTCACATTGCTAGGATTAAATAACATGGTGTGTAGCATTAGGAGCCTGGCACATAGTAGGAGATCAGATGTGTTACAAATACATAATAACAGCAAAAGCCCCTACTAGCACACAGTAGCTAGCACCCATCATGTGTGAAGATCCCCTCAGCATACATTTTATGCACACAATACATGAACTGACCAAACTCTCTCTTTTCTTCCTTTTTTTAAAAACTTATTTATTTGTTCCATGAATGAGAGAGACAGACACATAGAGAGAGACAGCACCTCCAAAAAAGTCTTGACACTGCAATCCACCCAGAGCTGCAGCTGGTCCCAGATTGTGTGCATGTGTGCATGTTTGGCATATTCAGGGAGGCCTCTGGACTTGACCCCAGAACCTTTTCATGTGGGTCAGCCTCACAGAGTGTCATGTTTTACTGTTGTACTCCCATTCCCTCCCCTATCCTAATACCTTTGGCTCACCAGCTTTTTTGGGCATGTACTAGGGACTGAACATTTTTGTTCCCTCCCTAGATCCATGCACATGTTGAAACCCTCACCCTCAGTGTGGTGGTATTTGGACACAGGTCCTTTGGAAGGTAATTACAAGTCCATACTCCTTTAGACAACTTGATTTAAAAATCTTTATGTTTTTCTTCTGCCATCAATTGCTTGTTTCCAATTATGGGAGGCCAAGTCAATAATTTGTCAAATGTACATATATTCATTTTTGTATATAAGGTAGAACATTTTTTCTGGTGATGATTTAGGAGCCTGTAGTAGCTCGCAAGTCTCATTTGTCCTTTGCCGGCTCTAGTGGCACCAGTCTCAGCACCTTTTCATTGCTCTGCAATGTCTCTGCCTAGCAGTCTCTTCCCCTCATGTTTTCTGCTATGGTTCGGGTGTCACCCAGAATTCATGTGTTGATTTGGTTGTGACAGGATTAAGAGAGTAAAACCTTAATCAGATTATGGTGTCGAAAGGTGGGGGCCTTTGGGAAGAGATTAGGAATTAAGGTCATTAGGATGCAGTTCCCATGATTGGCTCCTTGGTGGGTTTATAAGGAGAAACCATGAGACCAGAACAGAGACACATGGATACAGATGCATGTGCTCCTGCCCTCTGCCATGTCATAATGCAGCCAGAAGACCCTTTCTGGATGTGGTTGCTGGATCTTGGACCTCTAAACTGTGATCTGAATAAACCTCTAGTCTCTCAAGTTACCCAGATTCAGGTATTTTCTGTTATTAGCAACAAAACAGAATAGAACATTGTTCTAGGCCCTGTCTTGGGAAATCTCAGCTCTTAGCCTGGAGCTGATGACTTTTTGCTTAGAAGGTAGAAGAGAGTAGCACTCTTGACTAAAATAATTTATGTATGCTGTAGTTGCAGTTTTACTTTCCTGGGGTTTAGACATACAAATAAGAAGAAACCACCAATTGGGGATGAGTTGTTTATTTTTGAGGGATGCACCGTGAGACATCTTATTTATCTTTGCTTTACTTGGGCTTCTGGAAAATGCAAGGAAATCCGATTTGTTGTAGCCAGGCATCATTCCCTCTTCCCTTTCCTTCCTCCCTCCCACCCCCTAACTCAGATGCTTCCTGAAGAAGGATAGACATGTTACTAGCCTGAGGAAGAAGGCGTATTCTGGTTCAGGACCTCACCGCCCACCCAGGGACTGCAAGGACCCTACCAGTAGTGCTCTGTGCACACTCGTTCCCCCAGTGTCGTGGCAAAGACTATAGCCATCTTAGCCACTCTGGCATCTCCACACTTGGCATGGTATCTGACCTAGAATGGGTAGCGAGAGAAAAATGTTGAATGAGTGTAAACAATATATGATTCTAAAGCTAGAGTCATTACCCCAAACTAGGCTGGAAATAGGTATTTAATAGTATCATTTATTCACATCTCCTGCTCAGACACTTACCCCATACAGTCAGGAACAACTGAGAAAGTCAGCAGTGCTCAAAATCTTCACTGTCCTTGGCTCTGTCATGTTGTAGGCTATGTTGACATGTTGGGAAGTATTTGTTTGGAAAGACCTGAAGAAATAGGTAAAATTATCAATAATATCATCCATAGGAGAATTTTGGCAGCATAATAGCATCCATTCCCAGACCACTTCTACTGTATGTATGAGAATATTTCTGTCGCCCTTGATTAGCCATTAACAGAAATTTCTTCTGCATTGAACTTGCCAAGAAAGGACCAATTAGCGATTGGCCCTTGAAAAGCAGGCACTCTGTTGTTAGGGCTGCTGGAGGGTTCGCAAAGGTTCCCTGCCATGGCTACACCACGGAAGAAATCTTCTATTATACTTTATTTGTCTTACTTGTGGCCAGCTTTCAGGCTTGTCACACTTCCTCCTGGGTAGGTACAAATTGAAGCACATTCATGTGCCCTGGGTTGTGCAGAGTAGATCTGAGATAAGGAAGTCGGAGTGCTCATATCTGCAGAGTTTTCATCCTGCATTTTAGGGAAGTGTTGCTGGCCTCCGAACACCCCGCAACACAAGATGTTTTTCTTCATTTTTTTTTTTCTTGCTACGCTTTAATTTTAGCTTGAACCAGTCCCTGAAGTTTTGCTTCAGGATTCTTTTCTTCCTCCCTAAGGAGTAATGGCTTTGAAAATGCCTTCCTGTTAATAAAAACATAAGTTTTCAGTATCATAAATTGGTAATGGAAACTCCTTTATCATCTGGCTTAACATTTGAACCATCACTAATGACTAAGAGATTGCAGCATGGTTGCAAGACTCTTTGGAAGCCCATAGGGTTGACTAAGGTGTGGGCTATCTGCTTTGGTCAGTGTGTAAATACTAGTTTGAGGACCACTGCACTTGTCATGGAGACTTCATTCTCTTTTTTAAAAAAGTTAAAGTTTATACATTTTATTTCTTGAGAAAGAGACAGAGAGAGAAGTGCCCCCAACATGCTCTCAGTTATGATCTCCTTCTCCCTGTCCTCCAGCCAGACAGGAACTTGGATATATGCCCAATGTGTTTCAGGTCAGCTCAGGATCTGAACTCATGGTCCGACATGTGACTCTCAGCCCTGCAAATCCATATACTACTGACTGCACCACCATGGCTGGGCCCATGTCAGTCTTTTAATGCTCGTATGCCTTGGAGAATCATAGGAGCCATATTCTGCTTCACAGGGGAACGAGACTTGCTGAAAGTAGAGCTTCAGTCACTCCACTGTTGTGGCATTGGGAAGTGTAGCTTTTTGTTTTTAGGCCAGCTTTTGTTGTCCCTAATACTTTCAGTCCCAAGCAATAGGAATCAATGAGCAGGACCTTTGTCAGTTGGGCACTGTTGGAGTTTGAATGTTCACTCCCAGCTAGTTGGTAGGAGAATCCAATCTATTGAAATAGAGAGTGCTGACCTCCTAGCAGAGAAGGGGCCCTTTTCCACCTCTACCTCCTGTTAAGGAGGAGTCCGTCTCACTATATGTATTTAGGGTACTTGCTGTAAGAAAAATATATTGAAGCGTGAATTCTGGCTCTCTCAGTTTATGACATGGGCCAAACAACAAATAAGCAGAACAGATTGCTATAAAACAGCTTTGAGGCCACTGAAGAACAGTGCCGAGGCTCAGACCCACACACTGTGGGATTTGGGTGGTCTGAAATGGAAATTGTTATCACATACTTAGCTGCAAATTGATGCATTAAATGATAAGTAAGAATAGGCTTAACTTCCATTGCTCATTTCATAAGTAACAATCTCATTTTACTATCCCCATTCTTGCCCACCTTCAGTTACAGAAATAACTCTGAGTGGGTTTTCTTTTTAAAGATCTGTGTCAAGCAGATACCTCATAAAAATGGCACAGGCAAAGTGTTCTATTTAGAACTTGCCCTGTGACACAATACCATGTGAGCTTTTTGTCTTTGGGCACTGGTTTCTTCTGAGGTAAATGCTAAGAGAATGGAGGCTGGCAGTCTGGAACTGGGCCTTCAGGGGAGGCATCTTGAAAGTGCTGTGGACTCTGAGTAGTTTACTTAAGTAAGAATCACTTATTCATGAGGCCTGAAATAAGCTACTATGGCATTTGATAACCAGGTGTCTTTGTTTCCTATGGTTGCCCTAACAAATGACCAGGAAATTAGTGGCTAAAAACAGCACACTTTTTTTTTTTTCATGTTTTAGGTTTTGCTATAGGGGAACCCACTAGTCAGAAAGAGAAAGAGAGAGAGAGAGAGAAAGTGAGAAATCACTTCCTAGGGGATGGCCATGCCACAATCCCTTCTTCATTCTCCTCTCAGGAGAATGACGTATTTTCCAAGCACCCAGTGTATTTTCCAAGTTGGCAGGTCTGGGATTCAAACCATGCGCTTGGTTATGTAGGATCCAGCCACCTTATTATTTTTTAATATTTAATTAGTTCATTGTAATTTGACCAGAGAGGGAA